GCAAAGGGTCTGAATACTTATGACCATGTGATATTTCAGTTTTTCTTTTTAATAAATTTGCAAAAATTTCTACATTTCTGTTTTTTTTCTGTCAAGATGGGGTGCTGAGTGTACATTAATGAGAAATAAAATGGAACTTTTTTGATTTTAGCAAATGGCTGCAATGAAACAAAGAGTGAAAAATTTAAAGGGGTCTGAATACTTTCCGTACCCACTGTATATGCCGATTGTTCCTCCAATTAGTTTTCCCATGTTCATTGTCAATGTTTAGGGATTCCTTCTAAACAAATACACTTACAAACAACCAGTGTAACATTCTCCCAACATAATATAATCTGTGTGATGTCAGTGACGGTGTTTTCTGTATATATATTTTTTTTTTTTACAGGGTGTCTATTCCTTTTCTTAAGATGCTCAATCAGATCCTCGCTAACAGCTGCTTTGAAATCTTCACCACACAAGAGAAGTGAGTGTTACAACAGTTTTTTTTTTTTTGTTTTTTTTAAAGTAAAGAAACTATGAACGCTGTATGTGAGAGCTTATATTTTTCTGTCCCTTTTTCTTCTCAGTCATCCGTTCTGTTTGGACCTTTTGAATCTTTGCAAAGAGTTCAGGAAGGCCAAAGATATTTCCAAGCTGCGCGCCTGTATAGCTGTGTAAGTCTCCATCTTATTGACTTCTTCAGTTATATGCTGAACACAGCATCCAATGCTGACTGTGCTGTTTGCCGTTTCCCAGCTTGTGTGGGCTGATCCAGTTCCAGGGTGACGTGAGGAAGAAAGTATTGTCCCAGCTGCTGATGCTGCTCTGCCATTCCTTCCCTGTGGTAAGTTCACAAGACGGGAACACTCACCTGTCCTTACTAGATCTATAAAACCGCTGACACGCTGAAATGTGTCTTCATCCTGCTCAAATTGCCGGTGATATTATTGTATCGCATTGTTGTTGTTTTAGCTCTAGGTGTGGCAATGTCAGTTGTTTGGTTGGTCGGTTGGTCCGCCTCTTTGTTCCAGACGGAGATATTTCAACAGCTATTAGATGAATTGCACTGAAATGCATCGTCCCAAGAGGATCAACCGTAATGACTTTGGTGTTCCCCTGGCTTTTTTTCATCTAACCCCACCACGAGGTTGATATTTGTGGTTTTGAGTGAAATGAATCGGCAACTAGTGGACGGATTGACATGAAGTTCGGTTTGGACATTTATGTCCCCCGTCAGGATGACGGCGTATTGTCAAGTATTTTGGTTTATGATCAAATAAATGCGAGACTAATAATATTCCCATCAGCCTCAGCTGTACTTGGTGTTGAATGCTAATTAGCAAATGTTAGCATACTAACACGGCAACTGTTCCTCTCTAACAACTCCAGATCAGAAAGACCACGGCCAGCCAGATGTACGAGATGCTTCTGACCTACGATGATGTCATAGAGCTGGAAGTGTTGGATGACGTCATGACCCTGCTGAGTGATACTAATTGGTTAGTGGATACTAAATATTTTTTCAGAGTTAGAGGTGTTTGGTGTGTGTGTATAATGTGACATGCTGTCTGTTCCAGGGAGGGCGACCTTTCCACAGTACGGACTCAGAGGAATCAGCTCTGTGATTGGTTGGGAGTCCCCAGGCCACAGGCGGTTACCAAGGTAAGACGCAGATGCGAACAGCACATATTTTTATCTTTTATCCCCATGTCGGACTGAGTTAACCCCGCCTCTCTCTCATCAGCAGGTTTCCTGATCACCTGTGGCTGTAAGTCGTGTATGTGGACCACAAGCTGTAAGAATGAAGAAGGATCTCTTTTAAAGCCGCGCTGTGTCATCGGTCTGTACATCTGACAACATACAACACATAGAATGAATCACAATCGGACAGTTTACATAACACTAGATGTGATGAAAACATCCGCTATCGTTACTACCAAGTTCTTGCATGTGCACAGATCTAAAGCTCTTGACTGTGATCAACTAATACAATCCAGCACACTGTCACATTCACGTGTACTCGCTTACTTTGCCAACAATGCTTCGGCCCTTTAGGCTCCTTGCCTGAAGGAGGTCTAAACATTCATATTATTAAAGTGAGTGAAAATAATCAACAGTGTTCTTGATTTTTGTTATTACAAATTCCAAATCTGTAAAACCGCTTTCATTGTCATTTTCTGTGCCTTTCTCACATGTAGCATTCAGGACAAGGTTTCATTAGAGCTGTTAACTTGTAACCTGTACCTGGAACAACACCGATAGGTGGAACTGAAACTGTAGTTTGCGTACACTCCAGGGAAATGGTTGCCATTTAGCCGGTTTTTTTGGCACAAGCCGTGGAATGGAACTCGGGCCCTGCTGCCGCTTCCCCTTTGGGTCCCTCGCAGACCTACTTTTTCTGCATCGGTGGAGGAGCACCAGGCCTGATAGCGGAGCCTCCCTGGTCGCCTGTTGAACAGAGCCTGTTGTGTCACCGTTGGTCCAGGCGTTCTCATTACAGTCCAATAGTGGCCACATTGTCTTACACTGACAAAAAGATACAAATGTTACATTATTTTAGAATTAGGTGGTTTCTGGTTGTTTATCCGACATCGCAGAAACTCCCCGGGCCGATTAATCACTATATTGCATTGCATTTTTCTGTAATATGATTAATTTAACTAGTTTCCTATGGGAGCTGACGTATATTTTGAGTCTCATAAAACTGGGTAAAAAAATGTTTTTTTCCCCCCCATGTGTTTGACTTTCAGCTCTTGCTAAATCATTTGTAACATCTGGTGACTATCCCC